AGCTATGCGTGTTGAGTGATTGGAGATTAGTTTAGGTTAGACACCCGTGTGTATGGCCTAATTCCATCATCCATTTCCATCATATTCCATGTGTATACTGTGATTATAATGTGATTATTTGGGGATTAAGCGTAATGGAAAGACTGTGTGATATCACAGGGAGAGGGAACTATGGAATGCATTCCTTTCATTGTGTTTACTTTAGTAAATTGTACAATGTAATGGTCAATGCAAAATTAAATTTCATATACCGCATTATGTTTGCAGCTACCAGCTTCGGATTGAGTGTATGCTGGCTTGTGAAGAGACCAGTGTTATGCTGGAGATGTTGCGGCCTAAAGTTCAGACAGTCAACTCGGCGTGTGATGGTAAATGGATCCTGTTTTTTTCTAGTTTCTACATATTCTATTATTACTGCTGCTGGCGTGACTCCTTCTGTTAAAGTGTATGTAAACCTATAATTTTATTTGTTTTGAAACATAGGGAAGGGTTAAAACTAGGGATGCACCAATATCGCCCAAATGCTCCCTATGCCTATACCGATAACTGAACTTCCGGTATCAGTAAACCGGGCAGCGAGTCATTACACGCTTCCCGGCTTCCTGATTGTCCAGAAATTTGGCTCCATGCTCCCTCGTCACCAGGGAGCATGGAGCTGGCTTCCCGACCAATCGGGAAGCCGGGCGCCATGTATTGACTCGCCGCCCAGCTTCCTGATTGGCCAGAATTCAGCTTCATGCTTCCTTGTCACCTGGTGATGAGGGAGCATGGAGACCGCTTCCCAGCTAATTGGGAAGCCAGGCGGAGAGTCATTACATGCTGCCCTGCTTCCTTAATGGGACTTCCGGTATCAATATCTGGTGTCGGCGGGAAAAAAATATCGGTACCGAGAAACAGGTATCGGTGCATCCCTAGTTAAAATCCATATCGGGTTATTTACTACCTGTGTTCCTCTGGAAAAAAATATACCTTCACTTCCCATTCTGGAGAACCAACAGGAAATAAGAGGAAAGTGATTGAAATTCCCATCTTTCCCTAATTCTCAGAGGAACAGGTTTCCCCATTGGACAGGTGCCCACATTTTGTGTTTCCATGGGAGGAGGTTCTCTTACCTCTTGCTCTAAGTTTTTGGATTGCATCTGACTGTCTCAATCACAACAGTCCGCTACAAATTAGAAGGGTTAATCCAGCGTGAACACAGCACTGAAAGACTGACAAAGGGTCCAACCCTTTACTCGGAACTAAAAAAAAAAGATTTCTCTCTGCATACAATGTAATATGCAGCAGAGTGTTTTTCTGGTAGCAGAGTTGCTCTTAATGAGTATTTTTCTTTGTATTTTCAGACATTCTCATCAGTCAGAGACTTCCACTCTTTTGCCAGCTTGTTTTGAAAGTTGGTAACTTCTTGAATTATGTGAGTATCTGGTCTCTAGGCTTTTGGAAAAATTATCTCATTTTGTTACACCGGACATTAGAATACATAAATATTAAAATTGTATTGAGCTTCTGTACCGAAGCCCAATACTTGATGCGTAACTCCACTTCAGTGATGAGACATCTGCAAGCTCCCTCACTGGAGCCAACATCTTCTTGCAGGCTTCTTCCCAGTGGTATATCCAGGGTATGGCACATATGGCAGCCAGGGATGTTTCTGGCCGGCGTCCCGCCCAGCTCTTGGGAACCAATGATGTCACTGGTTGCCAGGAGCTGAGGGAACGCCGGCCAGAGACCCCCAGATTGCTAAGAACTGGGAGGAGAGGTGTATAAAAGGGCCATACACGACTGCCAACCTGGCTATTAGCAATCAGAGCATGAGGGAAGATGTGTATGCAGGCGGGATGTCTGCAAGAGCGTCCCCAGTTGCTAAGAGCTGCGTGGGGAGATGTGTATGGCCCTTAGATATCTCCCCGCCCAGCTCTTAGCAAGCCCAGCTCCTGGCAACCAGTGATGTCACTGGTTTTCAGGGGTGCAATTTGTTGTAGATGCACCTTTTTTGCTTCTTCTGGGTGTGGGATCTTCAGCCACCTTGATTGGCCAGGCCTGCATGCTCATGGGAGTTAATGTATCTCCTTACCCACGTGCTGCTCAGTGTACGGTGTAAGCAGTTCATCAGGAGGAAGAGAACAATATTTGATTGCATAGTGTGTCTCTTCTGCAATAAAAAGAACCTTCCTGCTCGCAAAGTTTGAATTAAATGTCGGGTGACATTGACTTTCCATATTGGTGCTCCAACACTAGAGGCACCATAGATTTTCTGTCTTGTGCTGACACAAGGTGATGTGCAGACCTTCACCCCCTTTGACTAAAAATCAATGTTAGATTCATTAGTTAAACATATTTTTATTTTATTTGCAACTGTTCTACTTCCTGGTCCTCTTGGGCATTAGTGATGCAATGTGCCCAAGTGTTGTTCCTGGGAAGGTTACATCAGCAGAGCATTGCTGGGAAATGTAATCTCACGAGATCTCAGGGAAAGGCATTTTCCTCCCCTGAGATGATGTGCATGGTCACACGTCTAGTCACATGAGTTCCAGGAATTAAAGTAAGATTGAATAATCTGCCCTTAGTAAAAATGGCTACTGTGAGAAGAATGGGGAGGAAAAGAAAAATAAGGTATGCAGAGAATACAAAGCCGGCAATTATCTAGAAGTATGTGTTTGTAGATTGTCATTACTAAACATTTCTAAAGGCCCCTTTAGTTGTTATTTTGAAGATATGAGTAAAGTTCCTCTTTAAGAACATACCCCAAAGCATGTATAGCCCTACGGGTGATTCCATCACCTTCACCCGATCATAATTGCGTTATGAAGTCTTACATAGATGTTTATGGGATAGTGTGTGCTTTACATTGAAATGAATAAAGCATGTTATTGACTGACTGGATCTTTCTGCTATCACATTCTAGGGAAGTCACACTGGAAATGCAAATGGATTTAAAATGAGCACTTTATTGAAGCTGACAGAAACGAAGGCAAACCAAACCCGCATAACTCTGCTGCACCATATTCTGGAGGTGAGGTCTCTCGATAGAAAAACAAAAGTAAAAAAAAAAAGACAAGAATAAAATGCAAACACGCCAAAACCAACCAATCCGATGTAGTCCGTTTTTATTTTGTAGTACAATTTGGTTGCAGTGGACAACATCTAGAACAGAAAAAAAAGTAGACTTATCCATTGCTATTAGTTTTTTTTTCTTATTTTTGTTTGTTGTACTTTTGATTTTGTAAATAGCCTGTTTACATTCTCAAGGCCAAAGAAAATTTCTTCACACAAAAAAGTCCAATCCTAATATAAAATGCTCATGTTTAGCAAATACTGCCTATCTAAAGCTGTCCATACACCTTACAACCATCGCTCGACTTTTGTCTTGCGATGGTTGTAAGGTCATTTAAAATTTCGTACGATCTGCCTATCTTGGACAGGCAGATCGTACTTGCGATCATCGCAAGCCCGCCCCCCTGAGGGGAGGGCTTCAGATGATTGCAGTGCTGAGCGGGCAGTGTGCGCTTGCGCACACCGGCCCGTGCGGCATTCGTCTCCCGAGCACGCCACTAAGCCCTGGAAAATCGGACGATTTTCGGCAGGTTTTCAAGCGTGCTCGGAAGACAAATGTCGTGCGACCTTACAGTAGTAGAGGTCACACGCTGCCCATATACCTGCCGATTATCATACGATAATCGTCAGGTGTATGGGCACCCTAAAGGAGAAGGCTGTAGCTCGCGGTATATTGAGCTTAGGGTGACGGGAGGACGCTAGTTTGTGTCCTCCCGTTACCCTAAGGAGAACTATGGGGAAAAACACTGACCCCATAGTTCTCCTTTTTAAGGCTGTGTGAAACTGAACAGCCCTTCCAGGCTTAGAGCTACTTAGAGAATTAATTCTACGCTATAAATGTTACTGACTTCACAAATTATCTCTGATTGCAGGAAATAGAAGTAAATCACACCGATCTTATTGAGCTTCCAAATGATCTTGAGAAGGTTTCTAAAGCTGCTGGGTAAGATGTACATTATTGTTTACAGAATTACTTAAACAGAATATATATATGTATAGTGTGTAAATGTGTTTGTACATCTTTAAGTGAGCTTAATTGTAGTACTTCATATGACTATTATTTTATATTGACCTATTTTTTTTTTTATTTAGAGGATGGAACTCTAGGCTCCCTTTTACATGTTTACCAGGCTAATCTTAACTGCTTTGCTGGCAAAATCCTTTTCACAGAGCTTAAAGTGACACTAAACTCAGGAGTTAAATCTTAAAAATGCATTCAAGATCCTTAACTATTAACAAAAATGAATCTTATTTGTGTATTACTCAGCTGTAGATCCTCCAATCATCTCTAAATTCCTGCTGACACTGTCCTTTCTTTTGGGGTGTGACTAACTTTGTTCCCCATGGTCACTGTGTATGTTGTAACGTAGTCACCGCTCCAAGCTCGCTCGTGCGATAGTTTACAATTTCACGTTTAGTTTACTAATTAGTATTGAGATTGTAGTCCATCCTGGCAGTGATCTTGGAGCGATGGCTACTTTACAACACACACAGGGACCATGGAGAACAAAAGTAGCCACCCTCCAGAAGGAAGGACAGTGTCCGCACCAATTCAGAGATGATTTGAGGATCTACAGCCGAGTGATAATATGATACATGGGTGATAATAATTAGGATACTTGAATGCATTTTTAAGGTTTGTTGCAGCATGTCCTTTCCAATCTGATTTACTGAATGGGAGGCTCTGGGTTCATTATAACCACCTGGTGGGCTTCCTGTGTTGTAATAGGGAAAGATGCAGTGTAGGCGTCCCTTTATAAGTAATTAACCCTTAGGGAGCATCTCGCAAAAAATTTAATTCTTATTACGCTGGATGGCAAACATTATGCCTGTATCTCAGCCAATCACAGATTGGCAGGAAGTGACATTTCTTGGTGAGTACTGTACACCAACTGTGTACGCTATGCCTCAATCACAATATAGGTCACAATATTGCATTGAATTTTTTTGACAGATTTAGAACATTACAGCAGCTGCAGTTTTATATGGAAATGTAATTTTATCATAACCTTAAATTACAAATTGGCTTGTGCAGCAATTATATATGCTATAGTCATGTATTTTAAAGATTGGTTTTAATTTGTGGAGTTATCCTTTAATAGTTTAAATGACTCCTGCAGCTCTTTGAGTTTGGTGACTTTAGTCCCCTTATCTTCCTCCCCTTCCCTCTTCATTGTAGGGCTCCATAAAGACTTTTAATTAGAGAGAGATGGTCTGAAAACAAACCTAATTTGCCTTTCTTTTTCTAATAACTCATAATGTTTTGATTTACCAGTTTTTGAATGTTTATTTTTTTAGATGGTTCTCTTTCAGGTTGCAAAGCCCAGTCTAACCTGCCATCATTGTATCCCAACAGAATGTATATTGATTTCCCATGGAAATATACCTGACCATGGATAGTAGAGGATATTTGGATTATTTTTTTTTTGTAATGGTTCATAGCTGGGCATAATTGTTTGCATCCCCAGCATTACCTTATCTTGGAGGTGAAGGCATGCAGTCGTCTTGTAAAAAAAACAAAACCGCATGCAGTGCTAGGCTTTCTTATTAGAAAAGCCTAGGTAGAACCGGACTGTAGCAGCTTCCTCAGCCGGATTCAGTGATTTCCGTAGGGTTGCTTCATCAGATCTTCATTATAGATATGAGTAAACAAATCCAATTGTATTTCTGACTATGCCCTGTGATTTTTTTTCTTGTATTGATCCACAGTGCTAGCAACAACTGCCCTAATGCAACCACACTAGACCACCATTTAATGTCCAAACTTCTCAGAGGATGGGCAGCTCAAACCACAGGCTGCTACAGAAGACTGGACAAAGTGCCTTGTCCTTGTGAAATATATATTTGTTATAAAATATTTATAAAAAGGTAGAAGAGTAAAGGAATTAATCGCTGGTTAAACCCACAGTTAGACTAAAACGGGCACAATGATGCCAAAGCCATAACATTTTCACATAGATCAAACAACTGAATGTAGCCAGCAGTACATAATGTGGCTAACACGTTTCTGGGGCCACATGGCTCTGAAGGAGATAACATTATCTCGGGAAATGCTTTAGCCATACTTCATACCTCTGGTTGTGGTTAAACGTTTGATATATGGGAAGATTTTATGGTTTTGCTTGGTTGTACCTGTTTTAGTGCCTGCCAGGAGGGGAAGAGCAGCTGAGCCGGAGATTAAAGGAGAACTATGAGGTGAGTGCTTTTCACTCACCTCATAGTTCTAGCCGACCTGTGACAATGAGACTGTCACAGGTCGGCTCAGTAGATCGGGAGGTGAGGGAACACATACCGGCGTTCGCTCACCTCTCAATCCTGTCACTGCTCTCTGCCGTGGCAGGGGAGGGGCTGGATTTCCCCCTCCGATCCGCCAGCGCTAACTGGCCGGACGGGGCGGGTACAGCTGGCTCTGCCTCTAGATAGGCAGAGCCAGCTGTCAGTCACGCAGCTGGGCGGATCCAGGCATAATTGTCAGGATCCGCTTCAGCTGGGGAATCTCAGTATACCGCGAGCAGCAGCTAGCGGTATACTGCGGCGTCTCAGTATACTCGCGGTACACTGAGCCTAGGGTGATGGGAGGACGCTAGTTTGTGTCTTCCTGTTACCCTAAGGAGAACTATGGGGAAAAGCCTTAACCCTATAGTTCTCCTTTTTAATTAGATACTTCCAGAAGAGGGAAGGAGTCAAATTTGCTAGTAAGCCTATACACACATTGCAAGTTAATAAGAAATGTATTTATGGAATGGAAAAATGCTGCAAGTAAGCATTTAAAATAGTTAATTTTCTGTGCTTTTACCTACAAAATGTTAAGTTCTTGACGGGGTCTCTTTGTTCAGCTATGCTGGTCTTACCCATACCTCCCTGTTTCTCCTAAAATCGTAATCCAGTAGTTGTCAGGATTTTATCAGAGGTGGATAAGGTTCGCTGTGCTTAGAGGTTCTTCCTTGTGCAGAGTAAGCTGCCTCTATGTAGAAATTGTTTGTTCCGTTCAAACCATTTTTGCTTTTGTTTTTTCCTGCATGTTGTCTGCCTGAATTACTTGATTTTCTTAATTATGCTTTGAAACTTCAATTTTCTTTTGATAGGATCAATATAGACAATCTATACTCTGAAACCAGTGCCAATCAAAAAAGACTGAAGGATCTGCAGAATAAAGTTTGCAATTCAGAGAATGATGTGAAGGAGCAATATGAAAAGTCTATTCAGGTATTATTATTTATATACAGTATTTATATAGCGCCAACAGTTTGCACAGCGCTTTACAATATAAGGAAGACATTACAATCACAATACAATTCAAGACAAGATGGTAAGGAGGGCCCTGCCCTTGAGAGCTTGTTCTGATCCTGAGCCACAGGGACATTGTTATCTCAGGTGGCGCCTTCCAGGGGCATCAGAAAACAAGGTTTTTTTATTATGCTTTTAGTTGCTAAGCAAGGGAGGGAGTATCATGCTGGTTTTGCACTGTCCATGCTATAAAAACCAGAAGTTACTCTTGGGGTTCTTGTTCCAGGGGTTGGGAGACAACGTTCTGATAGCAGTGAGGGCTGCAAATTAAAAAAGCCATAGACATTACTGACGAAATGCTCCCAAGTAGAGGCATGACGCTAGTTTATGTCCTCCTGTTACCCTAAGGAGAACTATGGGGAAAAGACTTAACCCCATAGTTCTCCTTTAATACTTTGAGAGCAGCCTCTCTCAACAAGGGTGCCACGGAACACAGGTGTGCCTCCTGGCCTCCTCAGGGGTGCCCTAAAATGGGACAACAGGTGCAAAGGGTGACTCTGATGTGAAGGAGGGGAATCTTGATTGTAAGGGAGCACTTTGATGATTTTGCATGGGGTCCTTCTTTAGGGCTTGTTTCCACCAGCCCACACGCCTACCACAATGTCCCGTGCCCAGAATGCAAGGGAACGCATACATAAAGTCTCCTTGCATTCTGGGGCGGGAGGGGGCGTGGTTGTGCCATTCAAGTCTATGGCACTGCAGACACGCCCGCAGTACGATCGGCCGCACAGGAACGCGTGGTAATAAAATGCCTTGCGTTCCAGTGCGGTGGGATTGCAAAAAATAATGCATTTACATTGGGGTGCCTCAAGATTTTGCATACTTTTTAAAGGGTGCCGTGCCTAAAAAAAGGTTGGGAACCGCTGCTTTAGAGGGATTTTCATTTTGGATAGAGTAGGTTTAAACCCCTGTCAGGTTTTTCTGTTTGCCATCTGTGTCCCATTTGGGAGAATTCAGTTCCTGTCCTGTAGACACAACAGGGAGTGAGAAATCTCTCCAAAGCAAGGGAAATGCCCTCTGAGGCAATTGCCAAAAGAACAGGTGTCCCCAGTGGAAGATTTCCCCTCTATTTGTTATAAGGCCAATGCTAAATTTTACATTTTCACTTTTAGTCCCAGTGATAGTGCCAACCAAGCCAAATAGTCCCTGACATGGAGATTCACCCACTCTAATGGGGACACATACAATAAAAAGAACTGAAGGGGGTTCTAACACCTCACCACTCTATTCAAAGCTGATCTTGGATTTAGAGACGCTTGAAGTATTTAATGTAGTGTGGCCAGGTACACAGTGTTAACAGTGAGTGAACAGTATAATGCTAGGCATGAAGCCTTTTCTCCTTTCTTTTCTATGCCTCATTATACAACATTTTGCTAATGTGCACTGATAAGTAGATAAACTCATAATAAACCGGCTGCATGCAGTCTGATCTAGAGTAGTAACAGCTGAACTCCAGGCACCTGTAAAAGACGCAAATATCTCTCTGTAATCATTAACAATTCCATTTAAATGTCCTTTTTAAACGCAAGCAGTATATGTACCTGATTTTGTCTTGGTATCAGCATCTTGCTGTTCCTGTATAGCAGAAACTCTAAGAAGGGGGAGGCAGCACAAGAAGCCAATCAGTTGTGTTGCAGTTCAAAGGGTTTATTTAGCTGTTTATTTAGCTATTTTTAAGGGGCACAACTGCATTCTGCAGCTCAAATATCTTGCAGTGTCATAAATTAAAGATGAGAACAAGTTCGGACTGAACCCCGTCTGGACCTGAGCTCCTCTGAAGCTGGAAGGAAGCTCCTTCCACTGCTGTCCAATCAGCTGCAGCCAGGTGAATAAAATTCATATCTCTAACTATAATGTGAACTTTTTGCATTCTCCTGGGGTAGTTTGATCTGTTTTGCCTGCTCAATGTCTTGAAAAACAACAAGATTCTGAAGCTGTTCTATGAATATCTGAAAATGAGATCAAGAGCTTCTCTTTTGCTATATCAGACCATAGAAAACGGAATTGTCTTGAAAACTTTGTGCATGAGAATAAATGTTAGAGTGTGAACTGGCAATATGCACACAGGCCCTGCTATTGGACTTCAACAGATGCCCCAAGCCACCCACTGCTTCAGCCTCCTGTCCTGTAGCGTGCTGGTGTGCTGTGATTCCACATAAGTTATGCCGTGGGGTAGGTGGCTGCAATGGTGTGATGGGATCTGCTGGGGGGGATTTGGTTTTGCAGGCTTCATTGTTCCCTTGTGGTTTCCGTCTACCGAAAATTGTCAGCACTCCTGCTTTGTTTGACAGCATATCATTGCATGACCACTTAAATATGTTTTAATTGTAGGAAAATAAAGATAGAAAGGACCAGGCGGCTAAGGCTGAGAAAAGGAAAAAGCAACTGGAAGAGGAAGAAGCCAAGCGACAGAAGGGTGAAAATGGAAAAATCAGTGAGTCATACTATTAGAACTCTGCCTAAGCAATGTATGAATGTCATTGTGGTCCTGCGGTCATTAATCCTAGAAAGCCGAGCAGTACATCCATTTGTAGACAAGAAATAATAAGATGGATGTAATGAATGAATGAAGATTAGATGGTCCATTGTCTATAGCCGATCTTTTTTTTCCCCTTATGGTAAAATATTGTTTTTGCTGAGTTCCTGTATAGCCTGGAACATCCATTGAGTGAGTACTCCTCCGTTAGTCCCATGTGCGATCCATAGGTGGCACAGATGCTAAACCTTTCCAGTCTGCCAAACTTTGCAGCCGTATTTTAAAGATTTGACCAAATTGAGTGCCCAGGTGTGCTGGGGTTGGGGTACATTTTCAAATGTTACCTCTATTGTTTTTGACCTTCTTTAAGAGTTAAGCAGTGCTCCATCAGTCACTGTTAATATGGGAGCTTGGTGATCAGAACAGAATGTAGGGTAAAATTACTAGACGGCAACTGTCAGCTTTTAAGGCGGACCCAGTCTTGGCCCCATTGCTAGTCTACGGGCAGCCATGAGGAAATGGTTGAGGGTCCGTTTACACCTGGTTACCCTCAATTACAGCCAGGTCCGGGAAAACAAATGGAACAGTGTTCTATTTTGACGGACCTGCTCGTGTCAGATAGGGGGTAATCACATCAGGGGTAAGACACATATCTGTTTACATCCCATTCCCCATAGACTGACACGGGCTCTGATCATTTCCGTTTTTTCCACTATCGTAAGTGGCAACATCCGATCCATACTGCTCTGATCAGGAGCGGATCTGTGCACAGATCCCCTCCTGATCAACCACTGTGAAAGGGACCTTAGTGTGTTTGTTACTTGCACTTGCACTTTGTTGCTCTGAACTTGTCAGAGACTCTCTGTGACCTCTGTGAAGGATCATTTTTTTTCCCCCCTAGGGAGGATGGAGATTCTATTACTGTTTTGAAGGCAATCATCCATGTTTCATGGAAAGTTCTTGAAAGGTTCAGTGTTGTGGCAATTGTTACATGAATGAGAGGTTCCTCCATTTTTATAGAGCAGAGATTTTCCTGTTTCTGTGCACATTTCCTACACTTTCTGAAAAGAAAGTTTACTAGTTAACTTTACTAGTACTTGTATTTCCATAAAATAAAAATCTACTTTTCCCGCTGGTGCTCTAAGTATCATGTTGTAGCATAAATAGACCCTAAATCATTTCACTCAGATATTATTTTAATTTTCCGTGGCATCACTGCTTTTGAGAAAGCAATAAGCCTTTAAAGTAAGCATATTACACCGGTAGACATATAAAATCCTTTTTCATGTATTTTGAAAAGGGTAATATTAAGGGAACAGTCCACCCAAAATAATATGTTTCAGAAAAGGAGAGAAACTGGGCTTAATAACCTGCTGGGTTTGTATACTTTAAGGGCTTCAGTGAAAAGATTCCTATGCTATAGATCCTCTTCTGATCCTCCCGAGCTTTTGATGTTCTCAACCACCTAGCAGCATCACCACTACACTACTACTTCTATAAAATGTAATCTCTAATGGAAAGGGTGAGCCCCCATTATACTATCCATGGCAAGTATGCAGACCTAGTATTCCAGAGCAGAGATTGTGCCACTGGGTTCCCCAAGAGATGTCAATGCCATTAAAGGAGAACTATGAGGTGAGTGCTTTTCACTCACCTCACAGTTCTAGCCGACCTGTGACAATGAGACTGTCGCAGGTCGGCTCAGTAGATCAGGAGGTGAGCGAACACATACCGGCGTTCGCTCACTTCTCGATCCTGTCACAGCTCTCTGCCGTGACAGGGGAGTGGCTGGATTCCCCCCTCCCCGCTCCGATCCTCCAGCGCTGACTGGCGGAACGGGCGGGGGAGGGGGACGGGTACAGCTGGCTCTGCCTCTAGCTAGGCAGAGCCAGCTGTCACTCATGCAGCTGGGCGGATCCAGACATAATTGTCGGGATCCGCTTCAGCTGCGGCTTATCAGTATACTGCGAGCTGTAGCTCGTGGTATACTGAGCTTAGGGTGACGGGAGGACGCTAGTTTTGTGTCCTCCCGTTACCCTAAGGAGAACTATGGGGAAAAGCCCAAACCCCATAGTTTTCCTTTTAAGTGGTTCAACTCTTCAGTATCTGCCATGATATTCAAAAAATAGTTTGTTTCTGCCTAGATAGAGTTCTATACATGGCATCTATAAGGAATCTGGATTGTGTGAGAGTTTGGCTTTACTGAAATGCTGACTGGGAATGGAGACCTTCACACTAGTCTGCATTAACTTATCCACCATGACCTTTAAGCTAGAAGGGGACACACTATACAATCCAATACATGATACTTCCAAAATACACAAACTTTTATCATTTGAAGAAATAAATTAAACTTGTCTTCCTTGCCTATTCTCATCCTCATGGAATAATTGTGTTTTTATTGCTTGATTGGGTTTTTGCCTTTTTTTTTTTACTCTATTATTAATTTGCATTGTCTAGTTCGAAAAGGTGCTGCAAAGTTGGAAGAAGGCTGCATTATCGACGCTCTGCTGGCAGATATCAAAAAAGGATTCCAGCTACGCAAGACTGCAAAAAACAAGTTGGAAGCTGATGCAGCCAACAGAGCTTCTACAAATGATTTAGGCACAAAACCTCCAGAATTAGGTATGAGATCTGCTGTCTCACCTGTGAGATCACACTACCCGAGCTATACGCTGAAAAGAGACTAGTGACTTTCCCTACAAGCTTTTCTGGACTACGTGCTTATGAGCTTGTTTGCATGCTGCCGCTGTTAGTCTTCTAAAATTTGCTTGCTTGCAAAGTTGTGTAGGCTCTGCATGTGCATTGTTTTACTAATCATGTTCTTTTCTTACTTACTAATATTTGAAATACAGGGATCACCCGTATGCCCCTACAAATTTGCAGTAGTGACGCACTGACAAAGTCAGCAAGGGGAAAGTACCTGCTACCCTTATGTCATAGTAGCAACATATTTCCTTTCCCACAATGCATTTTCATTGGTTAATAGTCTTCGACTGAAGCAAATACATTGTGCGAAAAATTATGTACGGAAAACAATATTTCTTTTAGATTTTTAAATAATGGTTTTGGGGACAGCCAAAAATATATAGGGTGCTCTGTCTGTAAACCTTACTGTGGGTGATTGCCATAAGCTTGAGGTCTTGTTTGGGTGCTAGCATTGTTGAGCCATATGCAAAAAGTAACTGTGCAAGGAGGTTGTTTTTGTTAATTTTCTCTTTTGAGAAGAAACATGTCACCCAGTAAAGCACTTCTTTGCACAAATTTGCAACAATTGTTAGTCTTATTTTGAAGGATAGTCCACCTAAAAGAGTTTTTACATTTTTGGAGGAGCTGGGAGGGATTTGATCCTCCGTTGGTCCTTCAATTTTGTTCTGCAACCCTAGCTGGAAGAATTTGTCCATTACCCATTGCATAGCTATAACAGGTCAGTTTCAACCTTTTCCACTGTTGTGATTGGCCCAATAGAAGAGCCTATATATTCTCATGGAGAAGCCAGTAGAAGGCCATAATAAATACTGTATCATGTGGCTGCTAGGTGGATACCCAACCGGAATTGGAATTGACTTTGCAGGTCAATTACCCACTTAGATCTGCTTAAAACCCAAGCTAAGTGTTGTACGGCAGTAGATACAGCAGTGAAGATTTGGAAAATAAAACTGCGCCAATTAACTCAAAACTTAAGTATTTTTTATGAACGTAATTGCTCTTTAGTCTAATATGCATTCTGTGCAAGTTTATCTTTTTGCTTTTGCTCAACAAGGGTGTTGTGTCCATTTAGTCTATTGCAAAGAACAGACTTTGGGACTGACATAAGACAAAAAACATTTTTGGTAAGGTATCATATAAAATGGTCACATTAGATTTTTGTAAACAGGTTGGTCATCTATATCCTGTCTCCGTGACATTCCTTATCCCTTTTGAGTGTTTGGGCAACCCACAAGATTGCAGCTTCCATTTTTGTGAGAGGTAGACCATAAAATAAATCAGATACACCAGACTAGAAAGGTTTAGTGGCAAGAGAAAAATATATTTCCATATGTATTGATTGAATCTAATTTTGTACAAAAATTAAACAGATGGTACAGAAGATGGAATAAAATGTATTATTTTGTAAAAAAAAAAAAAAAAAGAAAGAAAAGACCAGTGTCATTGTTCAGAATAGTCATGTTTATTTTGTAGATAAGATTACATTTCAGATTAAGATATGCAAGATGATTTCTTTGTGTAATTTGCTGAAAACCAATCATTTGCATGCTAAAAAATAAAATTGATTTTGCTATGTTGTCTGTCCTTGATATGATATGAATATCTTGTGTAGATCTCCGCATGCCAGGAAATAAACTAACTTGTTTGATTTCTGCTTCTAAAATGCATTCCTTAGCTTTATTGCATGCCCAGTGGCAAATACTAATTGCTTGGTGCCGCATGTTAATGTGAGCGCTTATTGGTGTTATGAATCCACTAAAACTTTTTGGTCTTGTTTTTATAAAGGCAAACCTGTGCAAATATTAAATGGAGATGCAAAACAGACCACTAGTGACACTCCCTCCACATCAGTTGATGAAAGTGTTTCTAAATCATCTTCGCTAGCTGATAAAACTGACGACAAAGATAATGTGGGTCATAATAAGCCAATAGGCCATGATAAAGTAGAAGAACCTTCATTTCCTACAAGCCAAGACACTAAAAATTGTGTGGGGAACACGGATGACGTACAGACTGTTGTCTTGGATCCAGACACAAATTTCACTAACGATGACAAACTGGAAAAAGAAAGTCTTCCAGGCGGTATACAGAATCAGTCTTCTGAAGCTGTTACCCCAAAGAATAAAAGTACTGTTGGATGCCAAGAAGATACAACACTGAATTCTCAAAAACATATGCAAAGCAATGTATTATCTCCTGAGGGTACTTGTGCATCTGAGACAAGTCATTGCCAGTCAGGTGAAGTAGACTCGAAAAACACGGATATTCTGAATAATAACAACCTCCAGGGTGCACATGATCAAATAAATACTTCAGTTAAAGATTCTTTAGGACGTGAAAATTCAGTGGTTGATGGCCAATCAAACAATAATTCGACTGAGGTGCCTTCTAAGGAAGATAAAGCCATGGCTGATGGTATGCCAACAACTCGGGACACAATACCAAATTCTTTGGAGGAAAAGATCAGTGGGAATGTGTTTATTAATTCAGGGTTAGCTGAGGAGGTTAGCATGGCTGAAATGTCCTCAGCACATAAGAATGATGAAACTGTAGAGGTTTCCCCACCAATTCAGGATAAAGGGACTGTCAACATTTCCACATCAGCACTTAACAATGAAAACACTGATGTCTGTTCTGATGAAAAGATTGGAACTTCTGGTGTTCCCTCACCAGATCAGACAAATGGGACACACGTTCATAACAGTGGTCCTCCTGATGCTTCCACAAATGGGTCACCAGGCACTGCCCCACATACTGAAGAGAACCCGTTAACTGATGAATCTGTAAACAAATCTTCAGAATCGGCTACTCATGTCCACACTTCTGATGATTCCAAGGTCAAAAGAAGCTCCTCCAGGAACAAAAAGAAAAGAGACAAGAGGAACTCCAAAGGCGGTGAAGGTAATTGCCTATATACATATCTCTGAAATTGTAAATCACCTTCTTCTCCTACAACAAAATATTTAAATTAGCATTTTAAATTAGTTACTAAATGAGCAGTAGTGTTCTAGTGCTTCTTGAGGGAAATGTTTCAGTAGATAGATAAAAATGCCTTAAATATCCCCTTTAAACAGAATCTTTACTCGCAATAAATACTTTCTTTGCAGCAATTATATGTAGATCCATTTTCGCTGCTTGGGTGATCTCCTCTCATTACTTCTGCTACCTTTGCCTGGAGGCCAGATGATCTTTCAGTGTATTGAATGGAACAAATAACTTCTACTTACAGCTGGCAACAGAACCACACAGGGTGCAGATAATTGGAGGAGCATCATGCCACTAGATAGAAAAAGCATATAGTTACTGGTAATTTAAACTATATGTACTTTGTTGTATAAAGTACCAAACATATTCCCTATGATTTAATACTCATGTTCATCATGTTAGGTTATAGAATTGGATATACAACATTCAATAACAAGTAGCTAAGTACAGATCTTAATTAACCATCGCCACCAATTTAGGGGTGTGCAAGATTTTGTTCTGACTGGTCACTATAGACATTGCCTTAAGTGCTTTTCTCTTTGCACTGTTTGATTGGGTAACTTGCTAGTATTTAATACAAGAAAAAATCTGCATATCACCGTATGTAGGTATTGGATCAATTTAAGAAATCAAACTAACGCTGTACATTGGTTTAATATGGCTTGGTATAATCATGGTATAAGACCTTATTTTGAAGGTCCAGGCACATAAAACAAAAATTACATTACTGCATCTTGGGTTTATACTGCCATGCAGCTGGCTATACTCCCGGGTTTCCATAATTCTTCTTGCTGGATCCTCAGATATATAGTTACACTCCTGCCCCGCTGTAATGTTTCTGAAGGAAGGCAGGGTTCCTAGTCATATTGCCATGCTGGAACAGCTATTTGACATTTACACTAATGGTGACTACTGACCACTAACCAGCTAAAATCTACAGAATGATTTATATAAAAATCGTAAATTATTGCGAAGATGATCAAAAGCTAAATCAGAGCTTCACTAATCCTTCCTAAGTGGTTTGCTCATAGTTTAGCGCAAAGGGGGAAGCACTAATGGCATTCTAGCTGTTGTGGAACTACAAGACTCTGACGACCACACAGGCATGACTCCCAGAGGCAGAGACAAGATTGGGATTTATAATTTCACCATAGCTGGAAGGCTGTAGTTTGACTACCATTGCGGTAGAGAAAAGGGTTAATGCTTACCCGGAGTGCCAAGGTTGCCTACCTCTAGTTTAGAGTTTTTCTCTTGAGCTCTTCAAAATTCTCCAGCCACTTTGAAGACTTAATTCACTCTGATGGAAAGCCTGTCCTCAACCTGCCAGGATAAGATAGCATATCGCCAGTGGATGGATTTACCATCCGGGACAGTAGGTGCTGACAGAGGCAAGTTTTCACTGTAAAAACATGGCCCTGGTCAGAGTTGTTCATTATCATGCCATAAGCATTTCCAACTTCTTGGGAAGTCTACCTGTGTACAGGCCAGGATCAAAGTATGACTTCCAGCTAGATATCTCCCAGCTCATTGTTCTAAGCAAAAGATCTATCCATCTATGGCCAATATTATTTAGTACAGAGTGAAACATGAACATATAGCCAGTAAATTTGGGGAAGTGGTACCCTCTGCATGTCAATAATTTTAACCATAAACACACCCACTAGAACAGAGCATTGCTTAGCCGTAGGTGGTATGTGTGAAATTACTGAGGTAGGATAAAATAATGAGTAGTATATTCATGATGTACTATAACACTCAAAAGAGGACATGAAACGCTAAGGGGGCATTTATCATGCAAATAATTGAGTGAGATTTACCAATTTGTGGGCCCTGACCACCAGTAAACCACCGTCTGCCACAAACCTGCTTTTATTAGCTTTAAATTGTTTGAAGAGCCAAAGGCACAATTTAGTAATCATTATTTGCCATGACAATTGTGCTTTTTCAATGAGAGCTGAATAGAACGCTAAATATAGCAAAGAACTTGCTTTATAGTTAAGTGAATCAAGGCTAATATCTGGAGTAGGACATGGTTTAGTACCTCCAGTGCCTTTACTGCTGCATTTTTGCATGAATTCCCCAACCCCCGTCATTGCCAGGCATGGTCATAACTAGCTAAGATTGATTGACTGACCAATCTGAGATGTACTTATGTTTCTATGAAGCATCTTCCATGCAGGGCACTCAAGTACTGTATCTTGGACCCTCTATTAGATCCTTCAAAGAGACATGGAGAATTCAAGTTCAAGCACAGAGGTAGCTTTAAAGTAAACATAGAGAAATATGGAGACTGCCATTGCTGACCTCCTGAAAATGCTAGGTGCCTGGTTACTATACTGACCCCCTGGCTTTCAGTACTTGCTAAATCACTGACCCAGAACAATTATGGAGTTTAACTATATCCAACATCGAGTCCTTAACTGCACATTTGTTCTGGGTTACTGACTTACAATTTCAAAGCAAGAGGGTCTATGACAGGTAGGCAACTTACAGGGTTATTCACTAAAGGGTGAAGAGTTTGGAGAAGGCAGGAGAAGTGAACAATCTAGAACATAGCTGAACTGGAGAGTAAACTGAATTGGAGAATTTTTACAAATCATCTATTTTGGCCTAGATTGTTCACTTCTCCTGACTTCTCCAAACTCTTCACCCTTTAGTGAGTAACCCTGTAAAATTTTCAGAATGAAAAGGTAACAATGGTTGCCTCCATGTTTCTTTTAAAGAAAGGCTTCCTTTAAGCCTATTACAGATGGGTTGATGGTGAGTGGGACCTTCCTGCGGGTTTTATGGTGAAGACCTGGTAGAGTATTGGTCCATCTCCCATGCTAAAATCTGGGAATCTGTTTAGATGAGTTATCCGTATTTGTTATAAAGTGCCATTAGAAATCATCTAATATTTAGTATTTCTTGTTTTACATAAAACATTTTTCATCAGTGACCTCTAAAATTCTATCATAGCCTATTATCTGTTTTTGTACTTGCCATATGTCGATAGAGTATAAGCACAGGCTGTGATGCCAATGTGGTTCTCCTAACAGCCAAGAGCAATCATTCTATCTATAGCAACATTGCATTTTCTCTCTCAATAAACAGAGATGGGAGTTGATTCTGGCAGTCATAAAACAAAGAGTTGTGTGGTACAGTAAGGTATGTAATACCGAGATTTATGTTGACTAACGTCGCTTATGTGCAGATAAATACTCGTTCCCTACTTGGAGAATAAATCAAAATGACCAACGTAATTGTTTTCTTGTGTCCAGCAACTTCTGTTTTGTGTCTCTTCAATGTCAACTAAATGTAATGCTTATAATCTTCTTCGTTCTTTCAATCAAATAATGAATAACCTGCGGGTGGAACTCTCATTGGCGTGGCTGAGTCTTTTTTTGTAGGCAATGGGTGAGGCTTTGCTCCGTAAAATGGAGGTGTGGCCAAAACTATGCTTTATTAAGTTGCCCTGTAGGCTAGGTTCACACCTAGGCGATTTATCACACAAAACAGAGATTTGCATTCAAGTCTATGGAAGCTGTTAACACCGTTGTGATTTGTTGCGTGGTAAATCGCAGGAGTTATTTTTGTGCGGTTTGGGTCCCATAGACTTCTCTATGCATTGAAAACCGTGCAACAACCGTGCGGTTTTCATAGCAAAATTGTGCACACAAAAACACTCGACAACCATGCGAAACCAGCTCCGTTGCCTAGGTGTGAACCTAGCCTCAGGTTTCTTTTATTGTGCTTTTCATGTGTGACTGGGTGATGGAAGGCTGCACTTTGGACTGCTTATTTAAGCCTATTTAGGCCTAAAAATGTCAGGACAGACTCTCTTACTAGGTGGAGGCTTTAGCTGCTTAATTTCTATTCAAATCTGTTGTTTATATGGGCCAAAGTTTAAATTATTTGACTATATTGGGATGGGTCTTGGTTGGTCTGTACTAATGCTTACGTTATAAAATGTAATACATGGCTGGGACACTGCTCTCCATATGGTCCAACACCAGCGGTCACTAGGGATAATAGTACTAGCTGCAGCAAACACAGGAGCACCGCATGGCCAAGATGACCATGTCTCTTTAAACAAGTACCAAAATTGAAAAAAGTTAACCCTTGATCTGCCTGTTATTACTCCACCACACTTTCACAATCAGAAATGTCTGGCTACATTAGAGATAAGCAAATGAATAGAGATGGGGTAGCCAAACTTCGGCCAACCAGCTGTGGTGAAACAACAAATCCCATAAGGCATTGCAAGAGTCTGACAGCCGCAGACATGACTTTGAGAGGCAAATGCACAATGGAATATGTAGTTACACCACAGCCGGAGGGCAGACGTTTGACTACATCTGGAACAGAGTATTCTATAACCAGTTATTCTAGTCGGCCAAGCAGCCATTTTAAAAATGGTGCCATTTGCCTATGGGGTTTGTCCAACACCAGATCTAATGGATAAGCTATGCATCATTTTTGGAAACTGCTCTTCTCCGCTGTTGTATTAGTGAAGACAGCGATCACTTTTCAGTTTTGAGTTGATGCAACCCAGAAGGGGGAGGGAAGCGTGTAGTGTAGAGCCTTACACCGACCGTGCACTGCCCAAATCTGGACAGCTTGTAGGTACGTATTATCTAAAATCTCCTACCCTTAAGCAGAGAAACCCCTCTTGGCTCATGCCAACGGATAGTTCCACTTCTGTGCGTCTCTTCTATTACCAACAAATTAAATTATAACATTTCCTAAATTATATCGTTGTTAGTCTTTCTTAAATGTTGTTATATATTTGTGTTTCCAGTTTAATAGGTGAATGTTGTCTTCTGTCTATGTTATGTTTTGTAATAAAGTCGCTTAAACTTTGTGACTGTAGCAACCCAGTGCAAGCATTTTTTTCTGCAGCTTGAATAATCTCTAACCAACCAAATCTCATTTTTCTAATTACACAGTAACACAAACGTACTGATGGCTATAGACATTGGGGGTTCACTTTTTACAGGGGAACTTAGCTTAGTGAATGTGGTAAAGAAGGATGTACTGTACAGATACTGGACCCAGCGTCTATTATGAGGCCAATCGTTCTGATCGCTCACCTGTACCAAACCATGTACCTTCTACATGTACATGAAGACACGTATGAGGCCCTGTGCTGTACTTATTTCTGATAGCTGAGGCATCAGAGCATGAAAGTGCTTTGGTGTAAACGGAGCCTTATGAAAAAGTAAATGTAAACTATGTTTCTATACATAACTTTTATTATACACAGGACTAAAAAATAAATGTTACCATTTCTTCAGTCCATACACAGGACTAAAAAATAAATGTTACCATTTCTTCAGTCCATACACAGGACTAAAAAATAAATGTTACCATTTCTTCAGTCCATACACAGGACTAAAAAATAAATGTTACCATTTCTTCAGTCCATAAAAATATACAAATATGAATATTTCATGTTTACTACTTGCAATCAACAGAATCCTCCTCATGCAGAGCAGGATAGGTCAGAGCATAGATATACTTCCTCCTTGCCAGCTTATACGGAACTGTGCCTAGTTATAGTTAGATGCACCAAGCATTTTAAAAGACAGTGCTGGGCTTTCTTTTAGAAAGCTTAGTATGCACTGCATCCTGCCATAGAAATACCCTGTATTAAATTTATACAAAGATTGTATTCAAGAAAGATCAGCCCAGAAATATTTGAACATAAAATACCATTCTAGTTTCCTTTAAAGGAGAACTATGAGATGAGTGCTTTTCACTCACCTCATAGTTCTAGCCGACCTGGGACAATGAGACTGTCACAGGTCGGCTCAGTAGATCGGGAGGTGAGCGAACACATACCGGTGTTCGCTCACCTCTTGATCCTGTCACGGCTCTCTGCAGTGACAGCGGAGGGGCTGGATTCCCCCCTCCGATACGCCAGCGCTGACTGGCCGGACGGGGGAGGGTACAGCTGGCTCTGCCTCTAGATAGGCCGAGCCAGCTGTCACTCACGCAGCTGGGCGGATCCAGACATAATTGTCGGGATCCGCTTCAACTGCGGCGTCTCAGTATACCACGAGGTATACTGCGGTTTCTCAGTATACTGCGAGCTACAGCTCGCGGTATACTAAGCCTAGGGGGACGGGACGACGCTAGTTTGTGTCCTCCCGTTACCCTAAGGAGAACTATGGGGAAAAGCCTTAACCCCATAGTTCTCCTTTAAGGAGCAGAGGCAGACATGTTGCCCGGTTCAGGATTAGTTTTAATTCTTTCATCTACACTGGGATTCTTTGCCTTTTTTTTCATTTATATTTAAATTTTTATCCCTTATTATACTATAAATACTCATTTTTGTAGTTGCTGCTAAGCAGTATAGTCTATGTACAATTGTACGCCGTGTCCTACCTTTGTAATAAATGATTTACTCCAATGGCTAATCACAATGCTAAATATCTGTTATAAACTATTTGATTTTTATTTTACCGTAGGATTCCGGACCAAGAAGATGCAAAAGCAGTGAATCTTTGGGCAAAGCTTGCACCGCCTCTTCCTTTTACATCCAATACCTTATGACAGATGGAAAATAACATATAAAATGCTATTTATTAATAGTTTTCTATCTTCTATTGCAAAGAGATAAATGTATAGCAACACCTTTTACAAGTTCTACGACCTGCTAACCAAATAGTCATTTGGAAGGATATCTTCATACTGCTGCAGATTGCTCTTCCTTTCCGTTACAGTGTATCCTGAAGCAGGTGCAAGTTCTTCCCTGAGAGTTATTACAATTTCCTACTTACAGCTTTTTTTATTGGCTGCCTTGGTGTTCCGTCCAAAGGGAAACAGTTATGGAGGAAAGAGTTCAGGTGACTGGGCAATGGAAAAGGTCTTTTAAGCAGCGGTATCCCTAGCCTATCCACAGCCCTAGTCAGCGCGGGCGGTGGAGGTCAAGAGCTGGGGGGTACTCCGGCCAGTGCCCCACTCAACTCCTGGCAACCAACGACGTCATTGGCCCTCACACATCACACATCTTCCGACTCTTAGCAACCTGGGACGCTTTGGTTGGAAAGGGGGCGGCAGCAACATTGTGCAGCAGAGCGGCAATGCTGCTCTGCCTGCCACCCCACCAACGTGAGACAAACAGATGCCATTTGAGGTCTTCAGCCCACATGACCCAAAGAGATGCCACCTGAGGCAACAACTTCAGGCTGCCTCATTATAGGGATAACCCTCTCTTTAAGGCTGGATTCACACCCATGCACTTTCTTCCCATATGCGTTTTCCATTCAAATAGATGGAAACGCATTGAAGCCCATGTCAATATGCATTTTGACTTGCAATATATTTTGCATTGACTTTCCACATGCACCAGGACGAGTGTTGATGCACGTCATGATGCATTTAAATGCATCATGAATTTTGATGTGTTTCCATTGATTCTAAAGGAAAAAAACCTCAAGCAAAAACACAAAGGCAGGAATCCAGCCTAAGATTTTACTTAAACCTGCTTCCAGTGACAACCTAGTTGGAAATTAGAACAATCAGAAAAAAAGAGGTATAAAATGAAACATTAGAATGTAAATCAGGTTCTTTTATTGTGACACCAACACTGCAATATCACTGCCAGCGGTATAATAGCATAAAATCTCAATAATAACAGAATTCCGGGCAGGTGGAGAGACGCCTGCTAACTAGTCACAGTCAAAAGTAAAGCAGCGAATCAAACCCTACTCTAAAATGAAAAAAAGAGTTGTTGTTTATTATGGCCAGAATTATACAGACTTATTCAATGAGGATAAAAGCATAACCTGAAATTCCTATTTACTAATCTGAATTTTGCAACCTAGCTGAATACTGAGTTTAAATCGGGTCTAGAAAAACGAAAGGCGTGCAAAGTCTTACGGTCTGTATTCTTTAGGAAGCAGCCACAGACTGTGTAGAAAAGTTGGTCCCCTGCCAACATGCTGCAGCGAAGGATCCTTTTTCTCTGAGTGGAAGCAGTGGTCTCTCTGCAGAGGCCCCCTACTGAGAGACAACCACAGGTCTAGAATCAACAAATTGGCTGATTGCACAGTTCTAGCTCTGTCAGCGAGGGGAGTGTCGGATCGCCAAGCTGCTGATACAGGCTGCACTGAAACCATGAACTGATTGACAAATTGTATTTTATTATTGGTATTTATATAGCGCCGGCCGTTTACACAGTGCACATTCACCAGTTCCTGCCCTCAACGCTTACAATCTAAGGTCCCTATCGAACATGCATAGCAGGGCCAATTTAGACAGGAGCCATATAACCTATCAGCATGTCTGTGGAGTGTGCGAGGAAACTGGTGTACGCGGAGGGAACCCACGCAAGCACAGGGAGAACATGCAAACTCCTTGTAGATAGTGACCTGGCCAGGATTTGAACCATGGACCCCCAGTGCTGCAAGGCAGTAGCGCTAACCACTGCTTGTGATCATTTTGATCTAAATGTACAATAGTGATATGACGTATTACAAAGCTGGGAAATCAGAAGCGCTTTTAGCGGTGAAGTAACTACAAGTTCAGTATAGCCATATTGAGTCACAGACCAGCTTTCCATGACCATAGCCTTTCTTTTCTTATACCACATTGCTTAAAGGGCAACCACAGGAGCTATTCCGTACTTTTACTCTTAAAAATGAATATTTGCACCTTATCTTGAAATCTTCTGTACAATATAATATAGTGTTAGGCAACAGTCAGCCCTTTGACTGGTAAGAGGGTATTAGGATTCATATGATGGTTATAGTTCAGCTCACATCAAGGCTTTCTTATACAGAGATGCTCATCCTGGGGTCCCTCACTTGTGGCTTCTTTAGCCATAGTAGTAGAGTTTTACTTGCCATAAGACACAATTGAGGCTATGCCAGCAGAGTAATAGAGGGAAGCATTAAGAACAATACACTTAGGCCTCATATACACACACATACTGTATATGGGGTAGGAACCATAGTGCTGTGCACACACTGGAAAACTGGAATTTCTATTTCCCCATTGTTCTCTAGAATTCATTAAAAAAAAGAAACCAAATGACATAGTTTAAAGGTGTCAGCCATAGGATGTGACTGTGTGTTTGTCAGTGGGAAAAAATTGACTACTCTATGTATTCTATGGCAGTCTTTCCAAAGCAGGGTTCAGTGGAAGCCTAGGGTTCCTTTAGCAATGAGAAATTGCTGCCTCTCCGATAGGTAAAAACATTATTGGTGTCAGTGGTTACTTATCTATAAGGGAGATTCTTCCCCTAGAGTACCAGGGTAAAGGTGCTCCTCTCCCAATAACCACCAACATAAGGGGGCCCTTCTCCACTGACCACCAATGAAAGGGTATTTGTGCCAGAAGGAGCACCAAACAGGTGTTCTTAGAGTCCAAAAGTGTTTATTCAATTCCTCAAATGACAACAGGGAAATTAAGGCATCCAATGGGGTTTGGTGGCCTGTTGCCCAATTCACCATTGGCTGCCTTTATTTTAGACTCTTAGAATGTCCATTTGGCGCTCCTTTTTCTCAAATATACATGGACTTAGTTTTTGTATCAGTATCCAGCACCTCACCTACACTTTCCCTTAAGATCAATAATGAAAGTGGGTACGTCACTGATCGCCAATGTGAGGGAACCCTACAGCGTACTCATTGTTATTATGTCATTCATATTTCAGTGTCATTACTGAAAACAATTGTCAGGGGTTCCTGGAGACCTGAATGTTATTTCAAGGGTTCTTCCTAGTTAAAAAGGCTGAGAAAGGTTGTTCTAGGAATATATTCGGGTCATGCTGTCTGATCATCCGGAAACCAGGGATGAGGGTCTCTGTAAGGTTTATGGATGTGGTCTGCCAATCACTGACGTGCTGTAACCACACCAAGATATATATATATATATATTTGATCAAACTGAAGACTAATGAAGGTTAAATTATAATTGGTTGCCCTGATATAACGGCACATTTTGTAGAAGAATGGCCCTCGGTTTCGCCTCACGTAGAAGATTCTGCACTTGAAAAAACAGACCATTATTTTGCATAAGAGATTTACTATTGAAGTGCTTGTCCTGTACATAGAAGTATTTTGGAAATAATATTTTGTTTCTTCTGTAATTAGTTTTGCAAAGTGCATACTGCCTTCTCAATAAATTATTTTCTTTGCAAAAACGCAAATGTGTTTTTTTCTTATTTCTATTTAAAGCCCCGGCATGGAGGTATAGAACCACAATGTCCACCATCAGGGCTGTGTTCATCAAAATGGCACCAGCCAGCGCCTAGGGCAGCGGGTTTAGAGGCGGCACCACCAAACCTCAGAATGTACAAATTGTAAATGCTAAAAAGATCACAAGACTCAAGGGGCGGAGCTTGTCTGAAAGAGCTTCACTGTTAAGTAATAATATTGTATAAAGATGGCCATGTACACTATGCCAGAGTTATATTCAGATAAAGAGAATGCAATGTCTGCCATGAGCCCCCAAGGCCCTTTTCACTATTTTGCCAGCCTACAAAAAACATAAAATGTGCCTTGTATTTAATAAAAATATCTTTGGGATGGGAAAGGAAAAACTCTTTAGCTTTAAGGTCTGGTTCACACCTGGGCGTTTTACAGCGCGTTCCTACATGCTGCAAAATGCTCAACATGTGAAAACCAATAATTGCCTTTGGGTATGGTTCCCACCTGGGCGTTTTACAGCGCGTATGAACGCGCTGAAAAACGGCCTACGCCCAAAGAAGTACACTCGGGAATACAGCGTACAGGTCTTACCTTGTCCGCGATCCCCGCTGTGTCCTCCGGCGGCTGCCGACTTCCGGATTCCGTCCCTTTCACTGAACAGAAAAACGTGCTAAAAAGCGCAAAAAAAAACGAGCTGAAAAAATACGCTCAGGTGTGAACCCAGTATTAAGGCCACGTTCACACTTTGTGATGCATGAAGGTGCCTTAAAGGAGAACTATGGGGTTAGTGCTTTTGCCCACAGTTCTCCTAAGGGTCACGGGAGGACACAAACTAGCTACAGCTCGCGGTATACTGAGACCGCCGCAGCCGGGACAGATCCCGACACTACTTTCGAGATCCACCCAGCGGGCTCTGCCTATCTAGAGGCAGATCCAGCTGTACCCGCCCCCTTCCCCAGTCTGTTCCGCCAGTCAGCTCTGGAGAATCAGAGCGGGGAGGGGGGGAATCCCTGCAGGGAGCCGTGAGTCACTGCTCTCTGCAGGGGCATGATCGAGAAGTGAGCGAGCAACGGTATGTGTTCGCTCATTTCCCGATCTACTGAGCCGACCTTGGACTGTGTTTCATGCACCCTTTGCAAAATACCATAAAGTCACTCGCACTCCGTTTGTGGATAGCAGTCAATCTCCTTTATTGACTGAACATGATGGCAAACAAAAGTGACTTTTTGCCTGGAGAAGGGACTGCCTGGTCCCAAAACGTTGCTTTGTTATGTGACCTAAAGGAGATTGACTGCTATCCACAAACGGAGTGCGAGTGACTTTATGGTAGTTTGATGTGCGGAGGCATCCGCGGTCACTTTCGGCACCCCCCAGTTTTTCGTTTGGGCTTTATCCGGTCAGGAGTGTGATGGGATCTACTGCATTCTCCTGTTACACCCATGTCACAGTCCGCAAAGCTT